TGAGAATTGTGAAAGAGAATATTTGTGTATTGAGGGTGTGGTTTAGTGATGTCTGTTCAGGATTGTTACGTGCAGAACAAAGTACTATAATTATACTATATTAGTGCTATAGAGAATATTTGTGTATTAAGGATGTGGTTTAGTGTTGTTTGTTGAGAACAAAGTACTATAACTATAATATATTAGTACTATAGAGAATATTTGTGCATTAAGGGTGTGGTTTAGTGATTGTTCATATTGTACAAGTACAGAAGTAACAAAGCACTATAATTATAATATAATAATACTATAGAGAATTTGTACATTAAGGGCGTGAATTAGTGTTGTCTGTTCAGTATTGTTACAAGTACAGAAGTAACAAAGTACTATAACTATACTATATTAGTACTATAGAGAATATTTGTTCATTAAGGGTGTGGTTTAGTGATGTCTGTTCAGGATTGTTACAAGTACAGAAGTAACAAAGCACAATAACTATAATATATTAGTGCTATAGAGAATATTTGTGCATTAAGGGTGTGGTTTAGTGATTGTTCAGGATTGTTACGTGCAGAAAAAAGTACTATAACTATACTAAGTGCTATAGAGAATATTTGTGCATTAAGGTTGTGGTTTAGTGATGTCTGTTCAGGATTGTTACAAGTACAGAAGTAACAAAGCACAATAACTATAATATATTAGTACTATAGAGAATATTTGTTCATTAAGGATGTGAAATGTCTGTCCAGGATTGTTACAAGTACAGAAGTGAACAAAGTTGAAAAAACAAGGAGAATGAAGATTTAGATCAAATGTGGCAAATATATCACTGCAAAAGGTACGTATATCTTTTTGATTAGATAAATTGTATGTGTTGGATTGCAGTAGTTTTCTTATAAAAGTGAAAATAAGATATTTAGTGTATGTGGTTTTGCGTTTTTTATGGCGATCTGATATTGTGCAATTTACTTTTCTTATATATCTGGCTTATAAATTGTAATCTATGACTGTAAAATATTTTTCATTTTAGGTTTTAGGTCTTCCAAATATTTTTTTTTCCTAACGTTTAAAGCAAAATTTAAATTTTTCCTCGTGCACCTTAAGAAAATATACATTTGTCATTAATTTGTTTTTTATTACTATTATTATATACCGATTATAAATGGTTTTCATTCGTATGTCACTGCCAATGAATATTTTTTCTTTAATATTCATATTTTTTCTCTATTTTATTATTTTTTACATTCATTTTTAGGTTTTGCTTATCTATTTATTACCTTCTTACTGTGACGTATAATTCTCACAACGTAAAATGTTTCTATTATTTATGTTTCGTTTCCATCTTCACTGCTTGCTCCTAACACGTCAGTGACATGCAAAATGCCAATGGTCGTAAAGCATGGTTAAGTATGGTAGTGAAAAGGGGTGAAGGAAAGGAAATAGAGAAAGAGGGGTGAAGAGAAAGTATATGAGGGTGAGAGGGTAGAGAGTAGGAAGAGGGAGAGGGTAGGAGGGGAGAGGGGATGAGGGAGAGAGTAGGAGGGGAGAGGGGAGAGGGAGAGAGAGGAGGGGGAGAGGGAGAGGGAGGGGGGAGAGGGAGAAGGAGAGGAGAGGGAGAGGGAATGGGTAGGGAAGAGGGATAGGGGAGAGAGTAGGGGAGATGGAGAGTGAAAGAAAAAGAAGAGGGGGATTGCAGTAAAGAAGGCAGGACAACAGTGCGTTATAAGAGGAATATAGTTATAGATGAGAGCGCAATACCAAGATAAAAGAGACTGAGACGGATGTGGCAAACACGATACTAGATTAGAATAAATATAAAAGCGATACTGTGTTCACGTGCTGTTGCAGACAACCCAAAACACCGTATGGCAGAGAAGGCATTTCTCACTGTCCCATCGTGTTCTAGTTATTTAGTAAGGAATAAAAGTGCTTACATAACACCCCCTTCCCCCCTTTCTAGATATTACACCTCACAAGACTAGCTTTTGCTTTTGGCGGACCAATTAATCTGTAAACTACTTTTCTCGTCGCCCCCCCCCCCCACACACACCCCCTTTTCTTGATATTACACCCCACAAGACCCAAGTTTAAGCCGCCTCAACCCCTGTCTGTCTGTCCTTCGTGTCTCTCTTTTCTCTCTCTCTTCTCTCTTCTTCTCCTCTCTCTCTTCTCTCTCTCTCTCTCTTTTCTCTCTTTTCCTCTCTTCTCTTCTCTCTCTCTCTCTCTTCTCTCTCTCCTCTCTCTTCTCTCTCTCTCTCTCTCTCTTTCTCTCTCTTCTCTCTCCTCTCTCTTCTCTCTTTCCTCTCTCTTTCTCTCTTTCTCTTCTCTTCTCTCTCTCTCTCTCTTGCTCTTACAAGGGCGGACCAACTAACCTGTAAACAACCTTTTCTCGTCCTATTCTCGCCTATGACGTCACCATGACAGTTACCCGTCAATCATGCCCGTTGGAATCTGGCACGAAAGACCATTATTACCCTGCAGCAAACTGTCTTTATAGAAATGTTATATTCTTTTAACCCAAAATCTGTGTATCATATATCATTTATTGGAAATTTTGGCTTGCATTTTGAGACTTGTGAAAAAAATATTTAAACCTCAAAATCTGTGTATCATATATCATTTATTGGAAAGTTTCTATCTATCTATAGACAGATAAACAGAAACAGATAAATAAATAGATAGGTAGACAGATACATAGATAGAAATGGATAAATAGATAGATTGATTGTATTGTAGTGAAATGTGTAAATAGGGGAGTAAAACAACGAAGGCCTTTCAGGATGTGGAGAGAAGAGGAGGAAGAGGAGAAGAAGGAGAGGGAGAAGAGGGAGGAGAGGAGGGGGAATGAAGAAGAGGAAGATGAGGAATAGGAAGAGGAAAGGAGGAAATGAGGAAGAGGAAGATATTTATAGGATCTCTAGAACTCTTTTCTGACCCCCAAAAAATCTTTCCTCTCTCTTCTCTCTTTCCTCTACAAGGTCAAAGCAAAAGCCAGAGAGCTAAAATAATGGTTCTACTTTCCAAAGCCACGCGTCACCCTGGGCTCTTGTCATATCTCTAGCAAGATCTGTAGCTTATCAGCCCGTATCTTGAGGGAAAAACGGTCTTGCAGATTACGATAAACCATTTCGTTAACATTTTTTCCAAGCAGCCAGTGTTTGGCTATCAACTGGAGGGTCTATAAAGTGGCTGTGTTCGGCAGGTATGAGGATAATGGTCAATGGTTGAAACAAATGTGCTTATCTAAGGTCATATAGGACTGGTGAAGTATTGTGGCGAAGAGTAAGGTTAGAGGAGGTGACGTCACGGGTGGGGCAAAATGAGAAATTATAAATAAGGTAGTTTCCCCCCCAGGTGGTTTCTCCGTTTTCTCTTTCGTCTGGGATCTAACCCTTTTTAGGTGCGTGTTGACCATAGCCGTAGGGGGGGGGGGGTTGAGAGGTAGGGGTGTTCACCTGTTTCGATAATTAGCTTTGCAATTCTTACCTGTACACCTGTACCCCCTGTCCCTGAGCCTGTCCCTGAGCCCCCCCCCCCCACCCCACACACACATCTATACGTCACTGAATTAAAACCTTTATGGAATGCCGACAGTTCCAATTATACTAATTTTATCCTAAAATTCTTGATATTTAAGATTTGCCTCATTTTTCCGGTTTCAAGGGACCCGAGAGGACTAGATAAAATATGCAAAAAGTAGGTTTATTTTAAGGATTTACTTTTAGAAAGTTTAACCACACAGTTTATCAGAGTCCTTATCACATGTACGATACAATCTAATCACAAATATAGATAATATAGATTATACACGTTGCATACAGAGTTATGTTTGTGAATATTTCCGGAGAAGGGGGTCCATAGCTTTCATCGATTTATTAAAGAGGACCGTGACAAAAAATGTATAGAATTTCTGCTATAGGAGGACAAGTTATTACACGAATTGGTTAGTCTATTCCGAGACGGTAGAGTGAAAAACCGTACCGTAACAAGGTCGAGTAATCTAGATACTTTAGCGTGAATTGAGAGAGTAATTCGAAGCTGAGCGAAGTGTTTTAAAGCTGATATTTCATTCGAACAACTTTGGTATAGCACTGATCAACCAACACGTATTCCAGCGGTTACTATAACAAAATGGATCTAGTTGCTGCACCTGGCGCTTCCAGCTGATATTCTATTGATTAAAACCACCCTGTCCCGTCAGAATTCGAGGCCATTAACACTAACATGGTAGACTTACAAATTAGTTAAATACCCCTCTTACTATCAGAGTAAACAAGCGTTCTTTCCTTCATAAATGTGGATACAAATCTAGACTGGCTAAGAAATACAAGTTGACCCCATCGTCTCTCTTCATACAATACGAAGCTAAATTTGTTGGGAATCGCTTTTATGCAAGAAGGACCTTTGAATGACGTTGCTCTAGTAAAAAAAAAAATAAAAATAAAAACAATTTCATTATAAATTTCTAGTGCATTTCATTATGTCAGCATGGGTGTTTTTCGTTTTTATAAACAGTCAGGAGAGAAACTGGTAAATCCAATACATGTTTATATAAAAGGGAATATAAAACAAATCTTTACCTTAATTATTTATTATATTAGGCAAATATCGTCTTATTAAAATTATAAAATGATCACCTATCGACATATTAAAATTACAGTAGTCTCCACAGCCTATGTTCACCTTTAAAAACGGATTACCTTACATAAAATTCCACAGGATTTTCTGAAGTCCTATTATCAGAAGTCGTATCTTCTGGGATTAACGCCAGGCGGGGTCCTCACAGCTCGGTTGGCCTGCGCGCCCCTGCGACCGTCTTCAGGAGCAGGTCTTGGCCCCCGATGCGCCTCGTTCCTCCGCTGGCCAGGGTTCTGCTGCGGCCTCTGGTTCTGCTGCCGAGACCAGGCCGACGGAGGCGGCTGTCCCTGCACCCTGTTCTGGGCTACTATTTTCTTCGGGGGACTTCCTGCTCGCCTGTAGGACACCTCCGGCTGCCTCCGCTGGGGTGCGAGGTGCGACGTCCTCTGGCCAAGGGGAGGGGCGGCTTCCCCGTCCTCCTGGTACTCGGAGTCGACCACCTTCCGCCCCCCTTCGGCATCGCTCTTCCCCGACGCGGTCTGCTCGCCGATGCCCCTCGGGTGCCTGGCGGGGATGCCCAGCGCCTGCTCATCGTCTCGTTCTTTCCGCTCCTGTTCTTGTTCCTGTTCCTGTTCTGGTTCTGGTTCTTCCGAGACTTGCGCGCCGGTCCCCGTGTCGAACAGAGTCTCCTCGAGCGTCTGACTATCCTGCTCTTCAGTCTGGGGATCCCCTCCTGCCGGATCTCCCTGCTCCTGCTCCTGCTCCTGCTCCTGCTCTTGCTCCTCCAGCCGCTCCTCCAGGTTCCTGCGCAGGCCCCTCGCCAGGGCGTGGAAGTGCTCGTGGACCTTGTCGATGGAGACAATGTCCATGAACCTCTGATGGAGAGAACCATATTACTTTCGCCTTTTCGAATACAAATACATCCACCACTATAGACAAAATACAGTTGTTGAGACGTACTAATACACCCTAAAAAAAAAATCCATTTCATTATAAAGTCCTAATGCATTTCATTATGTTCATGGGTGTTTTTTTTTTATAATTAGGAGAAACTTGCCTCGGCGAGTCCCGGATGCACGTGTTCCGTTTCGTGGTCAGTTTCGCAGCCGTGTTCCCCGTCTTGACAAAGCCTCGTGTTCATGCTCGTAATCTCTTCATGGTACAAGAGATTATAGCGTTAACAAGGTGTTATAGTTGGTTACAAAAAGGTCTTAAAATCATGGTTTAAAAAAATATAAATGTATAAAACAGTATGGGGTTAATAAACGGTTAGCTACAAGTTCAAAAGGTCTAAAGCAATGGCTAACATTGCATTGGCCTTGTAAATAGCTGGTGAGAAGGAGAAATAAGTAGATTACAGATTCTTTGGGTTACTATACTCTCTTGATAGTAGAGGGAATTAACGAAGATTAAAAATGGACATCGACAAACTAGGTCCTTCAAAATATTACACAAAACCAGATCGACCACCCACATTAACTATGAAATTCTATACATCCTTCCACAATACCCTCGACGTTAATAACCTCCCCACACACACCCCACACCTACCCCCCCCCCCACAACCCACATCCCTCAAACCCTTCTCCCCGTAACCCTTACCCCACCCCCACCCACCCCCACCCCCAACCCACTCCCCACTCCCACTCCCAAACCCCTTCCATCACCCCACCCACCCCCCACCCCACCCCCACCCGTCACCCAACCCGACACCCACCCCTCATCTTCCTGCCTATGAAGAGCCCCGTCCCGACAGCCGTGAAGAACATGATGAGCACGATCTTCCAGCGGCGAGACAACCTCTTCAGGGAACAGCGGCCCCTCAGCTTGGACACCGAGCGAGGGGCGAGGGATCCAGGGCTGCTGGAGGTCAGGATCTGTAAAGGGAGGGACAGATTTAGGAGTCAATTATACCTGGTGCCGCAACATGGTCTTGTAGGGAGGACAGATTTATGAGTCAATTATACCTGTGCCGCAACATGGTCTTGTAGGGAAGGACAGATTTATGAGTCAATTATACCTGGTGCTGGTTTTGTAGGGAACAGATTTAGGAGTCAAATTATACCTGCCGCAACCACCGAATTATTATTGATTAAAGTTGCAAATTAAAGGGTAATGAAACGATAAGTGAAAGATAAGATATAAATTCGAAATAGATTATTTTCTAATTAATCTTGATACCAGCTTCACTGGATTTATATGAGAAAGGGGGGCAAAGGAGGGGGGAGGACCTTAATACAGAAAAGTGAAGTAAGTAGAATACCATTGAAGATAATGCAGGATATATAGATATGAAGGACCCAAAAGACGAAATAGAATCGAGATCTAATTCACTCAAGATTATACCAAAGAAACCATGCTAAGAAAAAAAAAAAAAAAAAACATTTCCCCCACCCCCACCCCCTCCCCAATACAACCCGAAATCAAAATCTTAAACCAACTCAAAACACTTAACCAAACCAGTGCTTTCACCACCCACCCACCCCCACCCCCACCCCCACCACCACCACCCCCCCACCCCCCCCCCCCCAAGAAACCAAAACCTCACCTGAATGGGGGAATCGAAGGCGAACTGGGTGGAGAAGGCCATCCGGGGACTGACGAAGCAGGGGGTCGCTGGGGTCCTCTGGCTGGTGCTGGTGCTCATCATCTGACTGTTGGGAAGATGAAGGATTACATTTAGGATTTATTCAGCTTAGTCTGTGAATTTTTTATTTTTTATTTATCATTTATCTATTTTAAACTTCGTCTGATTTTTTTTTTTTTTTTTCATCATTTGTCTTATTTTATTTTACAGCTTCAGTCAGATTTATTTTTAATTTATTTGTCTAATTTTAAACACGTTTACGCGTAATTCTGGTATTTGATTTAGGATTTATTAAGCTTAGTGTATTGTGGAATTTATAATTTTAGATTCAATTTATCAATCATTTTATTTCACTTTTAAAAAAGACATGTACGAGGAATTAGGAAAAGATTTAGGAAATTGGCATTACATTTATACGATTTATTCAGCTTTCGTATCTATTTGTATTCTATTATTTTATCTATCTTAATCTATCTTATCAATTACTTTATTTTACTTTTTTAAACACTCAAGGTACGCGTAATACATATGGCAAAAGTCTTCAAATTTTCGAATCTTAACTATACATTATGGCTTATTTTATTTATTTTATTTATTTTATTTATTTTATTTATTTTATTTATGGCTTATTATTTATTTATTTTATGGTTTATTTTATTTATCTAAGGTTTATTTCTATTATTTAGAGGAGTAAATACCACGAGAGGGTAACCAGAGATACCTTAAACCGGGTGAATATCCAGACACATTGACGAGACCGAGGGAGTGGCTCCTGTGACGCCATTTTGGGGCCAGTGTGACGTCCCACATACTCTGGGGGGGGGGGGGGGGGAAGGAGATGTATTTAAGCTGCAAATTTATGGATCTGATATATATATACACTTGTTGATTTTAAGATGTTAGTCGATTACCTCTAAAAAGATTAAATGTAAAAAAGGTAGAATATATCAATATAGATTTGAGAGAGAGAAAAAAAAAAATAACCTTATGGATCTGATCTACATCCACTTATTGACTTTAGTTAGTACAATTTATTCGATTTCTATAGATAAAAAGTAAAATATACCTAAAAACGGCTATTATTGGAGAGATGTGGTCTATTTCTTTAATTTTAAATGGCTAATTAATACACACCTTTATTTCATACCGATTCTAAATGAACCAGAAAAGGAAATCCCATAAAATCTTTCAAAAGGATTTTTCATGATCTAAATTGATAGCCAATTTAGGTCAGAAACTTTTTTTTAAAGTATTAGTTCTACAGATCAATAATATGGCCAGGCATTTTGTTATTTACATAGGATTAATAAAAATTTGACTTTTTATATAAAAAAATAAAAAATACTTACATGGCGACGTGGGATTGGCGTGTCTTGGCGGTAGTCGCTGTACATTCTTCCTTTTTTTCCCCTAAATAAAACAATGTTTAGAGAGCTAATTGCTTGCAAATGCTAGGATCCTTTCTGTCCGAGAAAGAAAAAAAGAGATCTGGCTTTAATATCCGAGAAAATATTCCCTATAACTCATGGTCCCGAGTTTTCCTATAGAAGCCAACAATTAGTTCAAATTCAAAATCACCATCTTTTTATTTATTTTCTTTACACATTCACGGTCGTTCAACATTGCCACACAGTTATAAAGATGTAAATAGTAATACCGTGTTGATACTGTGGTAGAAAAACACCCAATGCAGGAAGGATAGAGAGAGAGGAGAGAGAAGAGAGAGAGGAGGGAGGGAGAGGAGAGAGAGAGAGAGAGAGAGAGAGAGAGAGAGGAGAGAGAGAGAGAGAGAGAGAGAGAGAGAGAGAGAGAGAGAGAGAGAGAGAGAGAGAGAGAGAGAGAGAGAGGAGAATTTTAGTTATTTTCCATTCCTCGTCTAGGCTTAGTGGATTAGGACAATCCATCACCAATCAAGCTGTGAAGCGATTAGGTGAACCTGTGATCAGAAACTTGTACCAAGAACCTTCAGATATTAAATACTTAAAAATTAATCTGGCATCGTGGTAATGACTATGTTCACACACATCTTTCAGTCCATCGTGATTAGGAAGTTCAAAAAGATATCAAACTTGAGAGGAGAGAGAAGTTAATATCGTCACACGAGACGAAATATAACCTTTATATAAGATAGGCCTACCCACCCTCATTTATTCATTCAACCCCCCCCCCACTCCAATCCACCATCCACTCATCCAACAAGAATCTACCAAGAGGGACACCTGGTAAGACAGTAAATTTTCGATAATAGGCCTATCCACCATCCACTCCTGCAACAAGAATCTGCCAAGAGGAACCGCTGGTAAGACGGTAAATTTACGATGATAGGCCTATCCACCATCCCTCATGCAACAAATCGCCAACAGGGAACAGCTGGTAAGACGGTATAGACTTTCGTAGTAGAATCTTACCAAGAGCCCACTGTATCTTAACTACGCACAAACTGTCCTGGTTTTTAAGAGTACCCCCACCCCCACCCCACCCCCCCCTCAGGCTGCCTAGTCCACCCGTATTTAAAACCCCTTAATTCGGGATTCCGTTATCTCTCATCTAAGAATTCGCTGGACACGAATAATTAAAGAGGAAAAAGTTTGCAACACAAATAACATTGGAAAGGTGAGCGAGTATGAAAGAGGCCATTTTTTTTTTTTTGTTTTCCCACGTGCGATCTCTTAACAAGGCTGTTTATGCAGTTTAAGAACTAAATAGCAGCAGCCTATTTATGACAGTCTCTCAATAATCGACACTAGAACTGGTGCTTTTCCACTACTACTTTCCATTGATAAAAAATTTGATCATATTTTTTTTATATATATTAAATCTGAAAATCCCACCCCACCTCCCCTCTACTTTGTTAATATCTGGGTGAAAAAAAATCCTTTTAACATTAACCAATTAAAAATAAAGGTTTTGGTACACTAAAGCAATGAAAACCTTATAGAAACTTTACATTAAATGCCGACCCCCCCTCCCCCAAGTTATTTGAGGGAAACACGTGCATAAAATCGAGAAAACTGAACAAACTTTTTAAAAAACGGTCATGTAAGTTAATAAATAAAAAAAATATTTATGAATAAACACTCACACAAAAAAAACGGTCATGTAAGTTAATGCGCAATTTATAACAAAGCATTTTAAGCTCGTTGTCTCGTACTAGGCGTTATCACGGAGGTTAGGGAGAGGGAGGAGGAGGAGGAGGAGGAGGAACGGGTCGATATCGCTATAACTAAAAGGCGATTAAAGTACATTTGGCAATCCGATACCACGGAGAGAAACCTAGGGAACGTTACCGCATCTGATAAAAAATGTAAAAAAATAAATAAAAATAAATCAGTGCCGTGACTCACCCAGGGTGCGCCAGATAAAAAAAGAAAAAAAAGTTAATTAAAAAGGGGGGCTTTGACGATATCAGAGGCAGATTTACGATACGTCAATCACTAGATAAACGGAGTATGCACTATACTTTTGCGGTGAATTTTATATACAAGATGATACGAGGCGACTGACTGGCTAGGAAATGGTTTAATGGTTATCGACCTCGTGGTGCTACTTAGCCACGTGGTCCCCGGTTGGGAAAAAAGGTTTTTTTCCCGCTGTCGTAGCGAGCGAGGGCAATGTATGGGGCTGGCGACCTGCGGGGGGCAGTTATGGGGCAGTTATGGGGAGTTATGGGGCAAGCAGTAGTCCCCCCCTTCCCCCACCTCCCAACACAAATGATGCTCTGATGTGATAATTAAGCGATGATTATTCATAGTTTTTATAAAAATGGATGGACTTGTGTTGGAATTCATACAAGGAGAAAAAAAATTGTTTTTGTGTTTGGAATTCACATCAGCGGAAAAGAAAAATGGGTGGCGAGCAAAAAAAAAAAAAGTGATCACAGCTGCAACTCAAAAACCTGCGTCATTGCGAGTATTTACGAGTCTTAAAACCTGGTCAAGGTCTATAGGCCATTATATCCGCCTTCACACTTACTTAACGGCCGCTAGCTAAGCTCCTCGGTACTTCAAGCGGTTCCTTCACACAAAACCGGCTTCCCTTTTGAGTGATAAGAACCATTTTTTAGACGTAGTACGGTATGGACGCATCGAATTAGGGTGCAAGTTGAATAAAAGATTCTTGTAGGAGGACAAAAGTTGCAGTCGTCGGGTACAAGAAATATAGTTTGCAGATAAGAACGGTACCGCCACAAGTTTAAAGAAAGATCAGGGGATTTATTAATCGGTCAAGATTAAATCTGGCGCCACAACTTTTCATAAGAAATGAAATGAAATCTCAGCTCTCGGCCGATTTACGCTCATAATATTGCCAAAATAAAAAATAATGGTTGTAGTTGTGATAGTAGTAGTAATATTTGTATTAGTAAGTAGCTGCTACCCAGTCACGGCAACTTATGAAGATTGATGAATTAATTTTGTAACTGTTTGGGGATTAGTGTGAGGAGCAGCTTCCCTCCCCACCTTGTTTTAAGTATTAACCGCAATTATGTTCTAATATACAAAATAAAGACTTGATAATTCACATAGCAATGAGATTTCCGTTAATTTCCACCCTTCCTTACCAACCATTTCGATGCTAACGAGTAATACGTTAATAGGCAACTGTTCATGGCTGAGTTGTGGTATTTGCATTTTATTTAATTATTTTACACGTTACTATATAGTTTTAAAATATTTTCCCTCCCACAGGAACAGATTTAACGTGTAAATAAGCAACTTAAAAATACTTTAATTCTCCGCTGCTATCGCCTTATCGCGTAGTAACAAATAAATCGAAAATAAAGAAAATATCAGTATTTGTGGCTCAGTGTCTTAAATCTTATCCATTGAGAAAAACGGAAAAAATAATTATATTTCCATACCTGGTTCAGTAATCCTCGAGCACCAACTGTACGAAAAAGTGGAAATCTGCTTCTTATATTTACGACACCACACGAACACTAAAAGTCACGCCGCCTTGAAGAAAGTAAGGTAATAACTGAACTTACCCGACAAGGTCAAGCCAGCTAACCTTGCTTCGTTTTGCCGCCAAAATCCACAAAGAAGGTAGATGAAAGACGAGGAATTTCGCATCAATATCATTGGAAAAAAGAAGATGCGAACCCTAAGGCTGTCATCAGCGCCATCTGTTGTATGGATGCGACACTAAGTTTGATTTTATGATATATGAAGCCTGATCTTATTTTATCATTATTTCTTTATTGTTTCTTACAGCTAGCTTATAGATGTGACAAAACACTGATAAGTATCCTCGAATATTCGTCTTTCGCAGCTAAAATAGTTATTCAAAAACGAAGACTATTCTCCTGCCATCTATCGGTCGGACGTAAACCTTACACTAAATGGGAAGGCCAGATATGCAAGAAACTTTCCAATCTTTCATTTATAGTTACAGCGAAGACAAACAAGCTATTCTTGAAGAAAAGTGGATAGTTTGCCTTTTCTCGAAAACGTTCTCGTTTGTGTGTTTAAATAATTCGCCAATGAGATATTATCTTAAAAGCTCTCGTTTGTGTTTAAATAATTGGCCAACTAACAAGATTTTAAATACACTTCTAAATAAAATACAGATATAGTTGCGGTATGTGTATAAACGCATTTTTAAAAGTCCATACATTTTTAAAAGTCTATATAAAGTAGTTATTGCAGCTTTTGCAGAGATTGAAAAGTCGAAATTCATGTCATTTTTCTGGGATTTGGAGATTTTGGAATAAAAACTAATAAAATAAAATATTGGCGAAATATTGCCAAAATAACAGTAGATATGATGTTCGTGATTGTAGTTGTTGTGATAGTAGTAGTAATAATATTTATATTCGTAGTAGCTGCAGCAACAATAGAAGTAGAAGTTATAGTTGTAGGTAATAGCAATAGTAATAGTAGTAGTAGTAGTAGTAGTAGTAGTAGTAGTAGTAGTGGTAGTAGTAGCAGTATCAACAACAATGTCATTATTATTATTATTATTATTGCAGTATTAGTAGTAGTAGCAAGAACAACAGTTGTATTAGCAACAACGATAATAGTAGCAATAGCCTAATAGTAATGATAGTAGTAGTAGGAGTCGTAGTAGTGATAATAAAAGTGATAGTGGTAATGATAATGATAATGATAACAGTAGTAGTAATAGTAGTAGTATTTATATGTATACACTTACATACATATATACATACAAACACACACACACACACACACACACACACACACACACACACACACACAACACACACACACACACACACACACACACACACACACACACACACACACACACACACACACACAACACACACACACACATGCATATATGTGTGCGTGTGTGTATATATATATATATATATATTATATATATATATATATATATATATATATATGTATATATGCCACACACACACACACACACCACAACACCACACACACCACAGACACACACACACACACACACACACACACACACACACAACATTCTACGTACAAGGCGAGAAAGAAAGGAAAAGGAAAGATTAATAAAGGAAACATCATATAATTACCTTACTTTTTGTCCCTCAGGTGTCCAGCTGGTTGTCGTAGTACTAATAATCTAATTAATATTGTTTTTATCTAGTTATGCCGGAAAACGTAGAACAGGGAGAGTGAGTGTAAGAGAACATCTGGTTTTCATAATAAAAAGAAATATTCATATGCTCTTTATTAATATAATATGATATACAAGTAACATGTTACATATCATATATAATATGAGATCTTATCAATAAATAATATTCTGTTCACCTTTTTATATAGTTTGGATATGAAAAAGGCGTTTATTCTGTTTTCCTTTATTTGCCTTTAATCCAGTTTTCATAATTAATCTTTATATTTTCTCTTTTACTTTCGATAAAGAAAATAAAGAAAATTCATTTTCTTTCCAGCCTCCAGATCTTGTCAGTTATTTTAATATCATATATATTTTCGTGTGTGTGTGTGTACGGTCATAGGTATATATATATATATATATTTTAGAATATATACGTGAAGAACAGATAGCTTGTGTGTGAGTGTGTGTGTGAAACCTTATTATCACCAAGATCAGTTTTAGAAAATGGACTTTCTTTATATTTATTTATTTATTTTGATCATCCATTGCATTTCGTTCTTTCAATATCCGTTTATTCATTGTTATGATTTTTCTTCTAAGGATGTGCTATCAGATAAATGCAATATATGAATACATGCACATGATAAGGATACTGATAAATATGATGATTAATGTACAGTGATAATCAGCTGTTTTTTTCTCTTCTTCAATTTGCCTTTTTTAGTGGCAGAAGGATATATATTGCAAGGATTGTATCATGTACTTCTATTCTTTCCACATGTTGTGTATTTTGTAGTTTAAACGACTACTATTTGGCCAAAATTCGCCTTTTCTTGTCGTATCAATGATTTGAAGGGTAGGGGAAAGGGGGGGGGTGTCAGCTGTTCCTAGTTGTAGAAGGGAAAGCCAGCTGTTCCTAGTTGTAGCAAGGAAAGCCAGCTGTTCCTAGTTGTATAAGGGGAAACCTAGTCGTTCCTTGCTGTAGACAGGAAGTATCAGCTGTTGTAGAAGGGAGAGGCAGCCGTTCCTTGTTGTAGAAGGGAAGCCCAGGCGTCCATTGTTGTAGAAGGGAAGCCCAGGCGTCTATTGTTGTAGGAAGGGAAGCTCCGGCCGCTGCAGAGGGGAGAACCAGTCATTCGGAGTTGCAGAAGGGAGCCCTTCGTTGAGGGAGGGCCCCCCGCCCTAGGTGTAGAAGGGCAGCACCAGCTCGTGGCAGCCGTAGAAGCGAGGGTCCACCGGCAGCGTCTCGAGCCCGAGGAGTTCCATGAGGCTCTCGATGATCTCGTAGACGGTCGACCTCTTCCTCCGCGTGGGGCCTCGAGCGGCGGCGTCCCCCGGAGGGCCTCGAGCCGCGGGAGAACCGGGCGCCGCGTCCTCGGGGCCGCGACGCGTCCCTCCTCCGGCGCCGTCTCCGGAGGTCGACCTCGTACTCGATTCCGTCGCGTCCGGCCGCCTCGAAGTCCTCCAGCGCGCGGGGGCGAGACTCGGGCGACAGGATCAAGGCCGGGAGGTACTTGGGCTCGGCCTCGAGGCGGTCCCACGAGGCCGGCCGCTGCGCTCCGACAGGAAGACCCGCGGCGCCTCCGTGGCCTTCGGGAGAGCGAGCGGAGTCCGGGGGAGGGTCGAGGCCGAGGGCGCCGCCGACAGCGCCTCCTTCGGGACGCGAGAGAACGGCGACGCCCGCGCGCCCGCACGCTTGCCGAACCTCATGGGGCGTCTGGGGGGGGGGGGGTGGCTTAATACGTAGATGAATACATGGGTAGATAGGTGGACAGATGGGGTGATAATGAATAGATTGAGATAAAACCGAGAGAGAGAGAGAGAGAGAGAGAGAGAAAGAGAGAGAGAGAGAAGGAAAGAGAGAGAGAGAGAGGAAAGAGAGAGAGAGAGAGAAAGAGAGAGAGAGAGAGAGAGAGAGAGAGAGAAAGAGAGAGGAGAGAGAGTAGAGAGAGAGTGAGTGAGAGAGAGAGAGGCAGACAGAGAGATAGAGATCCTGCTAGCATCAATAATATACAGTAT